TGTGGGGACATGTTTTATTAACATGGAAAGGTTGTTGAAGCTCACCTCTTGTCACTTGAATCAGTTGCCTGCTGGCCTGGCACTCAGTTTTGTGTGGCAGAACCTTACTGAGTCTGCATGATAATGGGCCTTTAAAATCCTAAACAATAAACATTCATTTTGCCACTCCACCCAGCACAGAAATGCTCTCTAACTTCAGATCAGCCACAAATAAGACTTGGAAATCAATTCATTGTGCATCGACTTCCTGCCTGGTTCATGCTTTGCAGCAAGTAATTTTACTAAAATATCTGCAGAGCATGCGTGTTTTGAATATGCACAAGTTGAGGTATTCTGTGTAATAGGGTCTTCAACCCTTTGCGACATTTCTTTTTTTTTTAATCCAGAGAACAAATTATATTGAGCAAAGCTAATTTTTATGCATTCTTAACTAGGATTAGAAAGACCTGGGATGGGTTTCAGAGAACAAACCGTCCGGTGATTTTCTCAAAGTTTTGGGAGAATTTTCAGCATCCCAAGGTCTTTTGGTTTGAAAATTATGTTTCATGGAAAACCGATTTATTATATTTGTGCTTGTCAGATTCATTAGAATAGTCTCATGAATAAGGTGTCAGTGTTGGAGAAGCCAGTGCGAGTACATTTGGCCCTGAAGAAGAATCTTGTCAGGTTGAGACAGATGATCAAATGGTTTTGTCTCAAATTCCCTTCTGCTGGGGTTTGAAGTTTGAGCTCGACTTTCTTCCTCATATCTCCTAGGCTAGAGTTCCATTATTTCATCACATTCCAGTGTTCCTGGGAGCTTCCAATTTCTTAAAATTCATGAGAACTCAAGGCCAGGAGGGGCAAGTCTCAAATGTTTTCAGTTAGAGAACCACTCAGGGAGTCAAAGAGCCCTCTCCCAGCTATTGCTATTGTAATCACTCCCCATGTCCCTCCACTGCACCAACAGTGCTGCAATTAGTGGCAAAACTGATGCTGCTTTTGGGAATTTCAAGGAGCCGATGTGTGTTTTTCATTAGCATAAGAAAATTAGTAACTTATGCCAGAAATTGAAGCATTGGCTTTAGTTAAACTATAATATAAACCTTAATATTTAGAAGATCAACCCAAAACAACATGAGGGTCCTCTTGGACCACAGTAAGATAGATATCTTAGAGCAGGAACGGGTGGTGCAGTCACAGATCAGCTAACCCTTTAATGATATTTATCCATTCTTTTTTCCTTTCTCTCTCTCTTTCTACACACAGTTGCTTTCAGGCAAAGCTTTTCCCTAGTTTTAATTATCCATTCTAATAAAAAAAAAAAAAGGAGACCTCTCCAAGTTTATTGTAGGCTTTTTATTTTATGTTTCAAGAGCTCATCTTGAAGAAAAAAGAGACAGAGCATGTGCCAAGGCTATTGTAAGGTACGAATTTTATTTTAAAATCGCTGCAGTGTATTTGAGATAGAGGCATGATATGATGATCTTCCTTATTGCAGTTATGATTAAACATAATGAGTAGGAACAGTCTGCAAGCGTATCACTGTTCTGTGTTGTAAAATTGCCCAAGAGTAAAATGCAAATACAAACAAGGAGTTTTAATGAGCCAATGTAATAAAAGATTCAGACAATAGGAAGCTGGTAGCTGTGCTTTGGCCCTTTCCCAGTGACTGGTTTAAACTGGACACCTTTAGAGCAAGTCTGATTTGGGGCAAGTCAGTTTCCAAATATATTGCAGATTTGCCCTAAACAACGCTATTCATTTAGGAAAAAAAAAGTATTCATTATCATTCATGTAAGAGGTAACATTGAATTAACCTGCAAGATACAAAAAGAAATAAAATCAATTTTCTTACAATATTTTTTCCTTTGTGAGTGAATATAAGTGTTTTGGGTATTTTAATAGACTATAACTGATAATGCTGGGTCAAGAAAAAGTTCCTTTAGGACCATTAGTACTAGAATTCTTTTCTCTACCACCCCCCAATCCTGCTTTAATTGTAGTTTGTACTAAGTCATAATCATAAAGTTTTTATTTTTTATCTTTTGTTGCAGGAACACTTAAGATCTATCTTCTTAGCAAATTTCAAGTATATGATACAGTATTGTTAGCTGTAGTCACCATGCTGTACATTAGATCTCCAGAATTTATTCATCCCGTGTAAATAAAACTTTGTACCTCTTGACCAACATCTCTCCATCCCCTTACCCGCTGCCTGTCCCTGGCAACCACCATTCTGCTCTCTGCTTCTATGCACTAAATATAAACACTATTCTAATTGTCAGGTTGAAATGTATTTCAGTCATCTCTTTGTAGAACAACAAAAGCCCTTGAGCTTTCTTTTCTTTGAATATATACTACTGTCTTCATGTAAATATTTGAAAAGTGCCAAAGGTGAACAGCTATAAAGGGAGCACTCAAGTTAATTCAGCATATGATGAGTTTTTCTTTTAAGTTTTTTTGCACAAGAACTGGTTGTGATTTTAGACTTAAACAATATGGAAGGAGGAGGTGATATAAATGTTACTTTAAGTTGTATCCCCAAGGGACTATGCTGATAGTTCTTGGTGAAGGTTCTGCGAAGGTTGGTGAAGTTCTGTGATAGCTAAGGATGGACATTCATTCACTGAAATGGGAAGGTCCTTTGCGTGACCATTCTGGGTATTATGTGTTTGTAGGATCTTGGAGTGCAGCATTAAATGTCCTCATATATAGAGTGGGAGATCTCTATAACTCTTTCTGGTGGACTTTTCAAAGAAGACATTTGGATTTTGGTGGGAAACTCAGGAAACCCAGAAATTAGCTGTCTTGCTTCACTGCAACATCTTAACTTCTGGAAAATAAAGTTGTTTTCTAGTATTGTTCTTTTTTATTTCATTTTTTTTATAGGTGGATGCATATCCTGGAGCTTTGGGATTTTAACTATCCCCTCTCTTTTGTCTAAACTTTCTCTAGACAGAAATATTTGATTCTGTGAAGATGTGTTTATCTTTGTGACTGCAGAGTCTCTATCCAGGCTGATCAAGAGCTCTTACCAAAATTAGATTCTAAAATGTGAAGGCCGTAAATAAAGTCATCGTTTTAGGAGGTGTAACTCATCTCTACCACACTTGGGGAACAAGTATGTTGTTAATTCTTTTCCCGTTTGCCCTGAGAATGTTCACTGGTGACGCAGCTGCAACATTTACTCTGAGGCAACTTGCGGATTACAATCCTAAACTTACCCTCAAAGTTTGCCATGAGATATCTGGCTTTTATTATTATTTTCGCATCGTTCTAGTATATTGATAGTCTTTGAAAACAAGGGACATCATTCTATTTATAGCATTCTGCTTTTAGTTGTGGTATTCCCATTTACAAAATATAATAATTCTCGATGGCTGAAAATGTCAAACCCTAGAAAACGTAGCATTCTTTAGTGTGATGTTAAATTAATGCTGGCAGCAAACTGCACTGTTTTTTTCTAAACGGCAAAAGGGTTAAGGAAAATTTTCTTCTTGTTTTGAAGCTAAGAATATAATTATCACTTGATAATTTATGGGGTGTCAGCTCTTTAACGACATCTAGTAAGCACTAAATTGCTTTAGGGGACAGAGACATTGTGTCACCCTCAATTCATTAGAAGGTCACAGGCCATTGTCAAAAGCAGCATGTTTGAGCTCCCTGCAGTGATTTGATAACATTGTGTTCTATCTATGAAGATTCCAGAGTTGGAGGTTTTTCTGGAATCCCCATTTTCTAGGGCTATGATGCTGAAGATTTAATATGAATTGGAACATTTGAATGGAACCAAAGAGCGGCTTTTGTTTCAGAGAGATGAACTTTAAAGCTCTGAAAGACCCGAACCAACTGGTTTTTAATACATGTTGATCTGACCTCACTGCTCACAATTTCAATAAATTTTTGTTTATCATTTTTGATTTAAAAAATTCCTTTTGTGCTATGATCTTTCAACCTTATGAATATGCCAAAAACTGCAAAAATGTTAAGGAAATATTTTACCTGCTGAAAACGCACACATTTTTAGGGGCTTAAAAGATATCTAGTACACGTGAAAGGAGAAAAAAAATCTGTAATACCAAAAACATCAAAGTCTGTCCCTCAAAACTTTAAATTTAGATTAGAATACATTTTCACCAGGCTTGGGTGAAGATATAAAGGTGTTGTCAGAGAAAATTTGACACACCCATTAAGAGTGGCAGCTGTTACTCTTCTACCTTCTTTCACCTTATTTTTTGAGTCAGATTTCCCTGATGGTTTTTCTGTTCTCCAAGGAGCTCTCTGTTGTTCCCTCAAAATGTATCACTGAAACCTGGGAGGTACACACACACAGAGAGCATATGTAAAGAGTCACATAATTCCTAAAATTTGACAGGTGTCTGAAATACTCATTATTGGAGATATTTACTGCTGAATTTAAAGTACAATATTGAGATTGATAAAGATCGAAAGAGATGGGGGATAAAAGGCTGAGCTAGTTCATGTAACAGCTGCAACCATTCCCAAATGTTTTTCTGCATAATCATGCAAGAAATTCATCATGCATTTCCTATTAAATATTCATGCAACTTGCTCCATAGGAGGGCTGTGGTATTTATTAATTCCCGGTGTTGGTACGTTTTGGTACATCTACTGCCAGCAATAAATGTGTCATGCTTAGCTAATTCAATTCTTGGCAGAAAATAGTAGAATATAATACTTACTTACAGGATATTGCAAACTTTAATTATGCCTAAATTATTTTCAAGACTACCTTGAAATAAGCAACTGATTCTCTTTGCTTAAGGATCAAATGGTGTGGGGAATGAATGAGTAGATAGCATTTTGCTTCAAGTGCCCCATCTTTGTGAGAGGCGATCCATTTGTACCACATACTAATAATTATTGTAAAAAGTAATCGAGTCTAAAGATTACAAAGTCATCTGCTCTTTCATACAATTGAAAGTTCTTTTTCCTAAGGTTTTATTAACTGACAGGATAAAATAGGACGAGCTAATTATCAAAATTTGTCCCCCAAATTTGTCAGCACATAACATTATGAATCGCTAGTTGAGATTTACAAACATCAATTGATAAAAATCAAAAGGAGGCTCATAATGTACTTCAGAATACTTTAACATACACGGACACAGGATAAAGTGGCATTTTTTCAGTAACACATTTAAACAATGCTTAGTTTGTGAATTACACAGTACTGAAAACTGCAGGAAATAAAATGGGAGTAGAGGACATAGGCTCTGTCCTTAAAGTATTTACAGAATAGTTGAAAGAGAAAGACATTCATCCAAAGAACAGCTAGAGAAACAAACAAATATTCAATCATGTAGAACTAATTGACGACACTCTTAATGTGCATACATTTACTTTTCCAAACAAATAAATACCTTTTCTCATGACAACTCTATCAATTAGGAAGAACAGTTAATGTCCTTGTATATTAAGTGCAGAAAGTTGAATGACTGGTCTATGTTTTGTTGTAGTTTTGAAGAATTGTGGTTATAACCAGTTATGCTGACTCTTGGGTATGGTCACCAGTGAGTATTCTCAGGGCAAATATCTTCTGGTAGCTCCTCTTAATTTCTATAGCAAGGGCTCCCCAGAACCCACACTTAAAACGATATGGATTTTTGCTTCTGCTTATGATGAAGTAGTTTGTAGCTGACCATTCTCTTCTTGGAAACAATTAGAAAAGCTAGATAAGCAAAACAAAACAATGAGTTTCAAGGCATATGACAGCTGCTGAAACATCCAGGACTAGGGAGATAGGGAATATTTCTAAAAGGAGGAAATGGCAGAGATTTCAGCCAATAGTCTGCATTCATTTCTTTTCTGGGGGCATTTGCTGATTCTGGGCATGGGGAAAGAGGCTGAGAATCTGGAATTTGCCTCCCATAGGGAGGGCTGCTGCTGGAGAACTGAAAGAACAGTAGAGGTTCTCTCTCCACACCCCAGAAGGAAGGGGTTTTTAAGGAAAAAAAATAGAATGGAATACTGAAATTGACATAAGGCCAGATTTCTCCTTAATATGTTTGCTAAAAATATGAAGCTGTGTCTCAGAAGACTAAGAAGCTAAGCAGAAAGACTTACAAAAGAAGAGAGTTCTCAGCTGTCTTGCCATGCTGAGGCGTAAGGGTTAGAGTTCAAGACCCATCCAGAGGAAGACTATGTCTTAGGAATTGAAGTAAACCAGAGATAAACCAAGCCCTACCAAAACTACAACTAGTCTGAGTCAGTTCACTCCTTGATTGGATTAGGTAGGTTAGTCGCTAAGTTTTCATTCTACTTGCCTAGCAAAAGAAAGTCAATCTCTCTCTGGATGTAGTAAACATTATATGGATCCTCTACTACTATATCATCTATATACCTATATCCATATATTCTAGTGTTTCATAAAAAGTCACTGAGTATGCCAAGAGACAAAATCATATGACCTTTTAAAAAAAAAAAGAGAGGAAAAAAAACCAGAAATGGACCTTCAGATGAAGCAGATATTGGTGTTAGCACACAAGGATCTTAACCATGATTAGGATGCTAAGAAAAATAAAGAAAAGGTAGAGAAAAATAGAAAACAAGTTGATATTTTATTAAAAAGTTGGAATCTGTTTTTTTAAAAGAATTAAATGGAAATTCTATAACTATAAAACAATAAACTCAATAGATGGGGTTCATAGAATAGATTCAGCAGAAGACGTGATTAATGCACTGGAAGATATGTCAATAGAAAAGTACCTAAATTGCTGCACAGAGAGAAATAAGAATGAAAAATATGGAAAAGAGCATTAGAGATCCATGGAAAACAGTAAAAATTTTATCACATATATCAATTGAATGCATGAAGAAAGGTGAGAGCACAAGCAATATTTGAAGATATTTTAGTCAAAAATTTTTCTAAACTGATAAACCCACAGATTTAAGAAATGCCTAAAACGCAAACAGGATGAATAAAAGAAAAACAAGTCACATCACAGTAAAAACTGCTGTAAATCAAAAATGATAAGAAAAAATTTAAAGCACCAAATATAGGTTCATTATCTTAAAAAAAAAAACAACACAACAAAACTACAACAAAAAGAATTATATCTGACTTTTACAGAAATGATGGAAGCCAGAAGACAACAGAATGACATCTTCAAAGTCATAAGAAATATATATATTTGCCAACCAGCAATTCTCTGCTCAGCAAAAATATTCTTCAAAAATAAGCTGAAATAAAGATATTTTCAGAGAAACATAAATGAAGGAAATTTTTGGTAGCAGATTGCAATTAAAAAACCAATCCAAACCAAACCAAACCAAACCAAACCAAAACACTAAAGGGAGTTTTTATGAATAGAGTTTTAACTAAAAAATCACTCCACATAGAAAAACAGAAATGCAAAAAGGAATGAAGAACACAGAAAAGGTAAATATGTAAGTAAATATAAGTAAATCTTGATGGTAGATATCATTAATACTAATATCTACTGGGTTTATAGTATATAGAAATAAAATGTTTGGTGATAATGAGAAAGGTGAGAGGGGCTATTTGGAATTAAATTGTTTCAAGGTCTAGTATTGTAAAAGGAAGTTGTAAAAGAAACAATTTAATCTCATTGTACTAAGTGAATGATGCATGCTCTCATCTTTAGAATAACCTCTGAAAGAATATTAGAAGAAAATATAAATACAAAAAAAATTAGAGAAAACATGAAAAAACAAATAGATTCAATTAATTAAAAAGAAGGCAGGACAGGAGAGAAAAATAAGGATAAAGTAGGTGGGGCAAATAGAAAACAGAAAATGGCAACTATAAATCCAATTTGTTATAATTACATTAAATAAAAAAGGATTACATGCTACCACAAAAAATTTAAGAGTTTCAGACTTGATAAAAAAAAACTCTATAATATTTTAAAAAATATTAACTTAAAAAGACATGCCTTAAATATAAGAACACAGAAAAATTAAAATTAAAAGGATGAAAAAAGGTATACCATGTAAATTCTACCCAAAAGAAAGGTACAGATTTCAGATAAACTAGACTTTAGGTAAGAAGTGTTAAAACAGATTGAAAGAGATATTTTATAATGAAAAAGGGGTAAGGGCACCAGGAAGATATCACAATTCTAAATCTGCAGCTATCCAATAACATAGTTTCAAAATGTATAAGGCAAAAATTGATGTAAGCAAAAGAGGAAACAGACAAATCAACCATTATAGTAGGGGGCTTTAACTTGCCTTTCTTAAGGTGATTGGATGAACAAAATAATTCATAAGGTTATAGAACAATAAAATAAACCAACTTGAGCTAATTCATATTTATAGAACAATGCACCAAACAATATTAGAATATTCATTTTGGCAATGAGAATACTCAGCAATGTCAGAATACAATTTTGGCAAATGTTTAATTTTTCCAAAATTGTTCATATGCCATATCATAAAGCAAGCCTCAATTAATTTTAAAGATTTAATCATTCAGAATATGTTTTCTGAACATGGTGGAATTAAGCTGGAAGTCAATTAAGTAGAAAATTCCCAACTTTTTGAAAATTAAACAATGTATTTCTAAGTTAAGTTATACATAGAAATTAGAAAATATTGTGTGCTGAATGATAAGAAAGACACAATTGATCAAAACTTGTGTGAAGCATCTAAAGTACTTAAAAATACATATTAGGGAAAAAGAAAAGGAAGATCTAAGCTTTCATTTCAAGAAACTAAAAAAAGAACAGCAATCATAAAATAGAAAAAATAAGAAAAGTAAAAGTAATCAATGGAATAGAAAACAAACTTACAAAACAATTTCAATAAAGCTAAAAGTTAGTCTATGACCATGCTACCCTGAATTAGCCCTATCCATCTGATCTCGGAAGCTAAGCAGGGTCGGGCCTGGTTAGTACTTGGATGGGAGACCACCTAGGAAGACCAGGGGCTGTAGGCGTAAAAAAATAAAAAAAATAAGGATCGTAAGCTGACAAGGTCCTTGCAATCTGTGAGGTCAACCAAGGGTTGCCTCACCTAAAAATAAAATAAAATAAAATAAAGCTAAAAGTTGGTTCTTTAAAAAGATTGGTTAAATTGATAACTCCCTAGCAAGACTGTTCTTCTGATCTGTAGTCAGATGTGTTATCCATTGCACCACTGGCCTCGTATTAAGACTGTTCTTGAGAAAGAGAAGACACCAATTACTAGTATTCAGAGTGAAAAGCAGGCATCATTATAGATCATGGAGATATTAAAGAAATAAAACGAGGATAGTATAGACAACTTGATGCCAATAAGTTTGATAATTTAGAGGAAATCAATGAATTCCTCAAAAAAAAGTAATTAAATTTATTATTTAGGAGCTTTTTTATTAAAGAAATCAAATCCATTATTAAAAACTTTCCCACGAAGAAAACTCTAGGACTGTGTTACTTCACCGATGAATTATTCTAAACATTTAAGAAAGAAATATCAATGTTATATCAACTCTTCCAGAATATAGAAAGAAAAAACGGGGGGAGGAGTATTTCCCAATTTGTTTCATGAGACCAGCATAAACCTGCTAAAAAGAATTTACAATAGAAAATTATAAGCCATTCTCGTTCATGAATTTAGAAGCAAAAACCTAAACAAAATAACATATCAAATCTAGTAATATACACGATGGATAGTTCAATAAGACTAAGTAGGGTTTATTCCAAGAATGTAGGAATTCTTTAAGAAAAACACCCAATAGAAAATGGACAAAAGACTTGTATAGGCACTTTGTAAAGGTAGATATCTGAATTGCCATACATATACGGAAATGTGCTCAACTACACTGATCTTCAGAGACATGCAAATTAAGACCATAATGATATATACTATACACTCAAAGTTTTGAAGTAATTGGTGGTGGGCGTGTAAATTGGTATAACTATCTTGGAAAGCCAATTAGCAGAATCTACTAAAGCTGGTCCAGCAATCCCATTCCTGGTCATATTGATAAGAGAATGCAAGTATATGTTCACTAAAGATTATTCGTAGCATACAATTGATAATAGCTCCAAACTAGAAATGAACCAACTGTCCATTAAGAGCAGACTGGATAAATACATTGTGGTGTATTTGTAAAATGGCATGACACACAGCAATGAAAATGAACTATTGCCAAATAACATAAATGAATCTCACAAACACAATGTTGAGCCAAAAAAGACAGAGGAGAGTAGACAGTACATAAATTCATTTATATGAATTTTAAAAACAAACAAAATTAATATATGGCGTTTGAAGCAATGAGAGTGTTTTTCTTTCAGAGAGGTAGAAACTAGAGGTGGAGAAAAGGAATGATTCTAGGATGGTGGTAAATTTCTATTTCTATTTCTGTTTCTGATCTGGTGCCGACTACATGGGCATATTTACTCTGCACATATAGGATTTGTGTACTTTTTTTGTATTTGTCGTACTTTGACACAAAGTTTAATTTAAAAGACTATAAGGAAGGTCTTACATAAATTATTGAATGTGCTCAACAAAAGAGCAATTCTCTCAATCGACTTAAGAGAATCTTCCAATAAGCAGAACAAGGGAAGATGGGTAGCAAAAGCTTTTCTTCCTTTACCCACAGATCCTGTGCATGCACCAGTATAAGAGGATGAGGTCAGCGTAAGGCAGGTGGCAAAGAGAATTCCAGATAAATGAAGGATTGGTGTTATTGGGAAGGGCAGGTTTGAGACAGAGGCCTTCTGGGTGAGGTGAGGGCTATGCTTGAAGTAATTTATCTTGTTCATTGTTAGCTGGAGCTATGTGACAGTCATATAGAAGTGACCCTGGTTTATGCAAGATGTGGCTGTTCCTCAAAGCAGTCATGGAGTTGGTTGAAATCATCGATCATAGGGTGGATGGAAGGTGGGCAAGTAATCTTAACTCATGCTTTAACATAGATTATCTATCTGTTCATCTCCCATCTACATTATACTACGGAGACTGTCTTTCCTAGGAGATAAAGAGCTAATTTACATAGTTTATTATTTTGGTTTTCTAAGTACTCTTGTGCTTAACTATAACATGAAGTGTTAATTAGACTATTAAAAAAAGCCCAGATTCCACTTTGGAATATAAACTTTTGTAACTTGTAAACATCAGCTGAGTTTTCACCATTAGCTTATTTTTTCTCCTAATTAGAATTCTGATTTTTTTTTTTTTTAATGATTGTGACGGAGGAGAGAGAGAGAGGGTGGGGGCGGGGGGAGAGAGAGAGAGAGAGAGAGAGAGAGAGAGTGAGTTGACATATAATCTGGTAACAGGGAGATATTAATTTTTTACTCCTTTCTTTGATCATAACAAAAGTTCTTAGTGTATACAAGATACGAAATCTGAGTTTCCTTAATCTTTTGATCAATTTAAGTCTTGTTTCTGTTCGTGTAAGTTCCCTGAAAGTAATTGTTAGCTTCTTACAGAAACAAAGAACGACATGAATAAACTTGTTTTACTCTAGTCTCGAATATAAGCTTAGCTGGGTCTAATACTGATGTTTGTGTGTTGTTAATACACACTTAAATGACCTGAATGGCTGCATTAGAAGAATCAATTTAAAAATATAACCAAGATGAAAGACAAACCCATTCAAGACAGTTTATGATTTTAACTTTCAGAAAATTGTAAATGCTAAGCTGCATTAGGTTAAAAAAAAATCCCTTCCTATTTGCTGAGAAAATAGTACATTGTAATAATGTATATACCGATTTACCACTCAGAAATCTTATGTAAGTAAAACAATAAATTGGAGCTCAACAATGTATTACCTAAAAGCCTTCCAGAAAGGTCCTCTGCAATAACGGCACATTATTTTTAAGAGCTATTAAATGCTGAGCCAATGCCGGTTTATTAGTCCTCACAGTCTCCTGGAAGGAAATAAGTAACAAAGGAAATCCCCATGGATACTCACCAGCTCTTCGCAACAAGAGAACCAGCTGGTGTCTGAACCCAGGTTTTCAGGCCCTGAGCACACCTGGGGTGCTATTAAAACAAAAACACAATAACAGTTAGCAGCAAAATCCAGGGACTCATTTGAGCAGGTTTTGGATTTTGATTCAGAATCTCTGGGTGTGAGGTCTGAGATCTGCATTGTTTTTCTAACAGAGCTTCTCTCAGTGACACTGATGCTCACCAGAGTTTGAGACCTGCTCCCTTAGAGGCCATCTAGTCAACCCCTTCATTTTCAGAGGAGGTTGTTGAGGCTCAGAGAGCATAAATGACCTTTGAAAGGTCACTGAGCCATTTAGTGGCAAAGCTTGAGTGGACCCAGGTTTCTTACCATTCCCAGGCCAAACTCCTTCTACCACGCTTTATTGCTTCTGAGTAATTTGTTTCCTCCTTCAGTGAATGCTATAAGCATACCTAGAACCAACGTATACACTCAGAAGTGTGACTCCAGATAATTCTGAATTTCTCTAAACTCACATTTTATTTGATTTTTTAAATTACCGTTAGAGGAAAGTCCAAAGCATATGGAATATTTAAAACTTAACTCTTTCTCCTTTCAGCTCTTCAGAAAGTGGTAAGACTGAGAAACCAGGAAATCCTCCCTTCTACTACTCATGGAAGTGTGTTAGAGATACAAAATTCTACCCAGTGGAAAAAAAGAACTCTAAAGGTTACAATTTATTAACCTGTAGGATATTAACCAGTTTTGTATATAATAGAGCAATTTTATCCTGACATTCCTTTTTAGATTGCATATAAACACTTGCTCCTCCAATTCTCATTTGAACTAGGTTTGACATATCCCTGATTCCTTCATTAATTAATGAGTTAAATACAATCTTTGACATATATTCATTATGTAGTTGAATGAGCATTTGAGCATTGTCTAACTTTTAAAAATTATACTTTAATATGAGAGATAAATCATTGTAGAAGGCATGGAGGAGTGAGCAGCAATTCTACAAAGTCTTCTCTGACTCCACTGGAATGCCTGACACTTCTCCTTTCGTGTTCCCCTAACGCTCCACGAGTGTATAACATGTCTCTCGTAGGCATTTGTTGCATTGCAGCAAACATCCCCTCAGGGCAGGGACCATTAGTGAGCCTTGCATCTCATTGTTTTTGGTATTTGTACATGGTGGATGTTTAATGCATTAAAAAAAAAAAAAGATTAGGCTGACTGATTCTCTTAGTGAATGAAGATCTATTATAGAGAGAAAGCTAAATGAAGGCCAGGACCACATCATGCACATTTTTGTCCTTTTCACTGTTCACTGTTCCAAGTAGACCTGCTGAGACAAGGCCAACATGGGCAAAATTCTGAAGAAGTTGCTTTGTTTTTGGCGACCCCTTATTAGTGAAATGGTAATAATATATACTATTACTATTTAATGCATACATATTACAGACGATGCAAAGATAAGCACTTCTAGTTATATAGATAATATTTTTAACCTCACAATACCCTAGAAGCTAAAAAAAACTTTTCTTATCCCCATTTTCCAGAGGAGGAAACTGAAGCACAGAGAAGAAACTTAGTTGACAAAGTTACATATCTAGTAAGAAACAGATAGGACTTGACTCTAGTTTCTCCAATTCTCAAGTCCAGCAGTTGATCCAGATATCAATTGCTGGCTATAGAAACCTAGGCAAGTTAGCTAACCTCCCTGAGCTTCTGTTTTCTTTATGCCATTTTCACTGTAGGGTTTTTGAAGATCAGAAACAATGCATGAAAAGCCCTACTATAGTATGTGTCATTATGGTGTCTAATTAAAGCTAGCAATAACCACGATTGTCATTACCTATTGGTTCCTTCTTTCCTTACTTGAGCTTCCCATTCATCTAACCTCTCACTCACCTCCAGCATTTACGGCTCCCCAGCTGTCAGGACTCCAAGCACTTGCATTCTATTATGGTTTATCCCTTGGAGTTTGAGCATCTGCCCTAGAGCGGTGCTTCTCAGATTTAACCTGCAAAAAAAACAGGGTCTTGAAAAGTTGCAAGTCTTGATTTGTCCAGTGGGTCTGAGGTGAAACCCAAAAGTCGCCATGACTAACAAGCTCCCAGGCCAGGTGGTGCTCAAGCTCTAGGTCGCTGTACCACATTGGGAGAAGCGAGGACCCGCTTTCCCTTGCTGACTCCCTTTCTCTCCTCCAATCCAGTCCTATTTTCTCAAAAGCTGTTTTTCTGCTACCGTGACAACAGAAAACTAGCTACTCTTGATTTTCCAAGGTAATAAATTCCCATCATTGATAATTTTCAGCTGTGATGCGGGAGTAATATTTGTGAGTAGAGATAAGGGATAAGGGATAAATGAGGAGGAAGATTTTCAGTACTGTCAAGTCATGTGTCATAATAGCCATTTACCTGTATGGGTCTACAGGTAATAAAATAATTCACTGTACCTTTAAAATTTCTAAAACAGAATAATGAAATCTCTTCTCTATGAGCCTATCTTTCATCTTAAAAGTGGGTTGTGGATGCCAGCACAGTATTCCTGTTGAAAATGTTGATTAACTTTTTGTGCAGTTGAGCTGTTAATAGGCAGTACTGCAGCTTTGGGAAATCTGACAAATATTGACAGAGCCCAGTGAAATGTTGTGTTGATTATTATACCCTTCCTCCTGAGGGTCACCTGGGGCCCTCCCACAGCAACCCTCAGGCAAAGTCTGTCCTTGGGGAGAGATCTAATAACTGACACAATCATTCTTTCTTTATTCAAATTTAAAAATAATTCTCAGAAAAAAATCGGTTTTGTCAAATATATATATATTGTATATATATATATATCAATAACACCTTCTAGTTGTGTTATTCATGCTCAACCCATTTTTACAGATGAGGACATTGAATATAGAGTTTAAGTATCTGGATCATATTCTGAAGGAATTAATTAATATCTAAGGTGGGGGAAATCAACCATTTAGAAATTTCCAGTTTAATTGGCCATTACTTAGAAATATACTTTGCAAATGTCACTATTTTATGCATTTATCATCATCATCATCTTCTGGAAAGTGGCTATGCCTTTCTCATTTATTACTTAAGTGTGCAAACATAGCATTGCAGGCTGGTAAGAGATGTTACATGTAAGTACAAAGGAGTATACTTTAAATGTTTATGTTTAAAAGGAGCTCCCATTAAAAGAAGTTAACTTTCTGTCAGTGATACCGTTGGTTGTCCATTCAGTTGCATCTTGCTATTTCTCCTGCTTCCTTCCCAACTACCACTTCTATCTTGTTGTTAGACTTTGATAGGCAAGAATGAAAGACAAGAAATGACCAATGTTACTTTCCACCCTTACAGCGAGGGCTAGAGCATCTACCCCAATCCAGGCTTAAGGGACCTGAAGGGCAGTCTACAGGGGGCTTCCAGGAAAGGTCTTTCTCCCAGATAAAAAGAGATGCATGAAAAAATCTATCTTTCTTCTGCATTTTGGAGTGATTGTGCGAAGATATAATAAATATACTGAGACAGAGGCAGCCATTTTGTAATCACTGGAGTAAAAGGCTGAGGACAAAAGCCGAAGTCTGAGTAAGTGGAACAGAAAGATGACAAGAACCTGGGTCCTCAGTGGTATTCTGGAGCTCTTACTTCAATTGTGGAACTTCTCCCGCTTCTAGACTGCTTGCTCTGAAAGTGATAAATGCCTATTTTGTTTCAATCACTTTTAGTTGGCTCTTCTGTTGCTTGCAGCCCAGAGCATCCTAACTGGTGTTCCAGTCCTTGGAAGGGGACTCCTGGGCGCTTCCAAGGCAGAGTGAGCAGTGCTGTTTGAGCTCTTCCTGAGGTAGCAGAGAGCATAGTTATGGTCAGCTGCACTTGGAAATAGGCTCGATCTCATGGAAGCCATAGGAATCTGTTGCCAGCCCTGATGAGGCAGACTCACCTGCTTCCTTCCTGTGCCAAATTCTTGGTGTCATTTATGAAAAAAAATCTCAGGTTTGGAGCCAATGGTGGTTTTTAGAGCTTTCTGTTTCATGGTTAGACAGATGTTTGGGGAAGTTTAATTCTCTGAATATAGCCTATCTAAATTATAGTCTCTTCAGTCATACAAATGGAATAGAATTTGAAAGCAGACTATTAACAGACAGAAGCCATTTATGTCTTTTGCAAATGATGTCATGTATAAAAGTCTTTCCCTTAATAAGATTAACTGTTTCTACTATTATAAGAATTATCTGAAATTAAGCCCAGACCCTCAGACTACACTGTGATAAAAAGGGATATGTTATGAATAAGGTAGTGACTATGAAGTGACGCAATACTATTTTTGAAAACTTACATAATGTTTGTAAAAAATAAATTAAAGTTATGTTGATCCTGCCTGTCCATTTTCCTTTCAATTTTTATTACACTGAAAGTTGCTTTTTGATTTAAAACAATTCTCTTTTACACAGATAACTTTTGACCTTCTATAATCACATATTATTGTAGTTACTGTTTGTGTATATGACATTCAACATTTCAAAAAAACCCTGAAGATTTTTTTTTTTTTTACGCCTACAGCACCCAGTCTTCCTAGGTGGTCTCCCATCCAAGAACTAACCAGCCCCAACCCTGCTTAGCTTCCGAGATCAGACCGGATCGGGTATGTTCAGGGTGGCATGGCTATAGACTGAAGATTTTAAAATTAGGAATTCTTTACCATTTTGGACTTAAAGCTTCATTGATTCAAGATTTTAAATGTTGACATTATAAAAATAGTGGTTGACCTCTTTCACTTCATTTCATCACATTGCTTTTCAAAATCTATTTTTATATACTTGTGAAATTTACAAACAAAATATATTTCATTCTACATGTATGAAAAAATACATTCAGCATGGGAAAACCATATTGGTAGGTACTCATTAAATTTAGAACCATCTTCTGAGATATAAGTCATCAAATGAACAAACAAAAAAACAAAACAAAAAGCCAAAGCAGTGCCACAGAGGACATTGTATGACAAAAACTTCAAAGTCGTCATTACATCAGCTCTGCCTCCTTAGCTCTGTGTTCACTCTTCTAAAGACTGAGGGAGAAAAAAT